CTACCTTACCATCATCCAAGAGTAGTTTTCACTATAAGTAAAAAAGAATTCTTGGACGGACACTATCATTTACAGTTTTTTACTATGTTCAATCTGAATTTTCTTTAAAATAAAAAACATCTATATTGATTGTGACTTTTCTACATCCAACTCACAGGTTTATCATTACTTTGAGAAAAAAGATTATTAATTTAACCCTTTTAGAAGGGAAGATATGGTCATTTGTTCTGGGAATGTCATTTTCGAGCCTGAGACCTGAAAAACAGGCTCAGGGCTTAACAGGTTAACCTCTTAAGGACGACGGTCCCCCCAGTGGACCCCCCCCCCACCGTTTTTTTTCGAGACTGTGTCTCAGGGCTTCTTAACATTTATGAAACTATTAATGTGTAGCACCAGATTAACGGGAAGAATCTCAGCTAACTGAAGATATGAACCATTTTTACCAAAACAAAACACAAGGGTAATACCAAGCCTCTGAATTAGCACTAAGCGAAAAAATGCTAACGCACTTTAGCACAGAACTCAAGATAAAGATACCCTTATTACTTATCGTAGCTGCACATACAATATATCAGATTAAAGCTGAGACTCCACAGATTATATAGGTATAGTATCATCACTGAGGGAAGCAAACACAGACATCAGAACACGTACCTTTACGGAGCTTTTACGGGAGATCGTCTCACCGTGGCTGTCAATCTGATCAAAAGACGTGTTCAATGGCATTAAAACGAGAAAAAACGCGGCTGAATCGGTTGATCCATAGGTTAATAATGTATCTGTAGCTTTGAAAAAATTATTTATAATCCATAATTCAATTTATATGTAAAAATCGGAGAGAAAAAGTTAGCTGCTAATGGTAGCCAACAGAGTGTATGCAGCTTCCGGTTTTGGCCACGCGTCACTCTCACTCCTTATTTGTTAATAGAGGTTTCTCAATACTCTAATTTCCCCTCCTCGACTCCTCGACTCCTCGGTCCTCCGGTAGTGACCCGGAAATGGATTTCAGCGCGCCATGTTGAAGGACATCTAATTTCTCTAAATGCACATGGAGGACCGAGCATCGAGCATCGAGGAGGCTCTCTGGAGGAGCTCTAACCGAGGAGACACTGATGGGTCCTCCACGGCTCCTCCGCGGATGCATTTCCGGGAACGGTGGAGGCGTTACGCACGGCCGGACTTATCTCAGCCAATGACAGCTCTGCATGCATCCCCTGGATATTATTTTAGTAACTGCTTTCATCGCGACGCGATGTTTCCAGTGAGAACAGCTGTTAGGTCCGTGCAGAAAGCAGAGCAGTGTGTAAAATATATATCACTCAGTATTACAGGCCTACATTACTCTCTGTATTTGTATGCTGTAGTTTAGTACAGGGGTTCCCAACCTTTATTGTGCCAAGGACCGGTAGATACATTAAAAAAAAATCGCGGACCGGTTGTCAATTTTAACTGATTTTAATATTTACTCACCACCAGCAGGTAGCAACAGAGGCTAATTGTATGTAACAGCCTGAACAAATACTAGAACAATATGCATCCAAAACATATTAACAAAGTTTAAAAAAGAACCGGTGTTGTTTTTTGGTTTTTCGGAAAACCAAAAAAACGACATTATTCAGTTTTTAAACCAAAACGGGAAAACAGATAAATCAACGTTTTGGTTTTGTTTGTATGATTTACGGATAATCCAGTGAATGCTGGGAAAACGAGGAGAAGGCACATTATGAAGGAGATGTCCGGTCGCCAGGGTGGGTGTGTGTGTGTGTGTGTGTGTGTGTGTGTGTGTGTGTGTGTGTGTGTGTGTGTGTGTGTGTGTGTGTGTGTGTGTGTGTGTGTGTGTGTGTGTGTGTGTGTGTGTGTGTGTGTGTGTGTGTGTGTGTGTGTGTGACACTGGCATTTGTTTTCAGAAGATATTATGATAGTGTCGTTCGTTCCGGTGCACTCCCGACAGCATAGCACTACATCGAGATTAAGATTAAACTAATTTATTTTGGGAACAGCCGCATATATGCCGGTGTCGGACAGACACAAACACACCGAACACACAGAGCTGAGCTGAGCAGAGCACATACACACACATGCGCCTTGGTGACTGACTGGACATCTCCTTCATAAAACTAATAAAAGGGGGAGTAATCGGGCAGTTCGATGTGTGTAGATGTGTGTGTGGTTAACACGTAGCAGCCTGCGGTCACTCTTAAACTGTTCTGATTAAGTTAAACACAGCGAAGGCGGTGCGTAAAAAGGCACAGCTCTTTACCGAGTATGTCCCGCTGTCTTCTATAAAACAGCTGTGGGCAGCAGATACCGTGAGAGTCCCGGACATGAATTCATAGATCAAGGCAGACTGGTTTACTCTCCTGTTTTGCCAATCCGGTGCTTAAACAAATAGCTCCCTCTACACCCCTGGCCGACATGTCCTTAAAATGAAGTCCGAGTTTGAAATATATCTCAAATAATGTATGCACCACCATTTCCCCACATAAACATAACAGTCTGCAATCAAACGGTTGTCTCCTGTGCGCTCATGCTTGTGCGCACAAGAGGCTGAGACCTTAGGCTGAGCCGCCGAATCCCTCGGAAAAAAAGCCATTTTCAACGGTTTTCTGGTGAAAGATTAACTAGCTACTGGATGAAATAATATGACTGGTGGCATTGCGAAAATTAAACACTTTTTGAAAAAAATATTATGATAAAATATTTTTATATATTTATAATTCTGCAAATATTACGATAAACTCACAGCTATTTCGCGGCCCGGCAGTAACACCTCTGCGGCCCGGTACCGGTCCGCGGACCGGGGGTTGGGAACCCCTGGTTTAGTAGATATCTACAAACAAAGAGTCGATATTTTTTAAGACCATTTAGTGCTTCACATAATAAAATACACATTGGCTAGACCCTCCAGAAAAACGCGGGCTAAAATCCTTGATTATGCGGGCTAAAGTCCTTGATTATGTGGGCTAAAATCCTTGATTATGCGATTAAACATGCGGGGTTTTTATGTGATTTTATGCGGTGAAGTTGCGAAATATGCGGAAATATGCTAAATATGCGAAAAGTTGCGAAATATGCGGGAGGCGGAAAAAAGGTGATTCTTCTCCCACACCCTGTTACTAGGCTACTACTGAATGAAAGTGAGCCCTTTTAAAGAGTTCCTATGATAAACAAGCATACTAGAAGCAAGCTACATCACAAAGTGTTATTTATGTATTTATATATGGGCTATTTTAATCACTCTCTCTCACTCACACACACACACACACACACACACACACACACACACACACACACACACACACACACACACACACACTCTTCTCCGCCTCATTCTGTTTTCATTTACTCGTTCGTTATCTGACCAGCTTCAATCTTGTAGGCTACTCACCTCGTTTTTGTAGCCCTCGAAAGGGTTTTGGAGGTTGATGCCTCGGTGAACGTGAGTTGTTTGACTTTCTTGTCCGCAGCAGCAGAAAGCATTTTAGAATGTTTGAATGAATCAAAGTGGGTCGTCACCGTCGATTTTCTCTTATGCTCCAACACACAGTTGCACGGGGTGCAGAATAGTTTCCCCCCACTTTCGTTCAAGACATCGGGGTACTGCTTTGCCCGGTCTTTAGCAGAAATGTTCGTAGGCAAATGAGATGGATTCGATTTTTTCATCTTGGTCAGAGCCGTATAATAGTATAATAGTATATAATAATAATAGTATAATAGTATATAATAATCTATATGGCACTGATCTTGTTGTTTTCTCTCTCGTGTGAGTTCCACACATTCACTCTACGGTGTTGTTTACCTGCGCGAGCTGATGACATCACTACTTCACGTTAACTTTTTTTTCCCTCAACTTTGTGTGGAAAAATGCGAGGATTATGCGACCTTTTAATAAATATGCGCCCTTTTAAAAATCTGCGCCATTTTGCTGATTATGCGGTAAATTATGCGATCGCATAATCGCGTTTTTCTGGAGGGTCTAATTGGCTGTAGCCTGATTATGCTTTAGGAGCTGTAGGTGTGTGTTGTACAGTGCGTAGATGCGGCGGACAGACGGGTCTCAGTTGTTTGGTGTCCTATGCTTACTTTTAATACTTGTAAATACAACTTTTTGTAGGGGGGGTGGGATATATCCAGTCTCTGATTGTGTTACGTTATTATGAGAGTGCTCTCATACTTGTTTGATTCTGAAATTGTATATATTTATATGAATATATGTGTGTGTATATGTCCACATCTGTAGCCTGTTATTGTCTCATTATACCACACTGTCAATGAATTAAAAGTAAATATATAAGTCGTCATGAACACATCTGTCCAGCTGTGCCTCCTGTCATCATTAATGGACGTCTCTTTAAAATGACCGCTCAGAGGAGAGGAGTTCTCATTTCTCTAACCGCCTGCTGCTTCCCCTCCTCTCTCCTCGGTTCCCCTCCTCAGTCCTCCGCTCGCATCTCCTGTGGGCGGCACTAAGTCTCTTTAATAAAGGCTTCTAATGCTTTTGAGCAATTTGTTGTTTGGTCTCTGATAATGGTATACAAAACACTAATGTAGTTGATTAATCAACTATTGCAAAAGCCAAATACCATATCCATAATTGTAAATGTACATTTATGGGAAACCATGATGTATTGCCTTTAAGCAATGAGTTTAAACAACAGGCATAAATATTTCTAAAATTCAACACTCTAAAACAAAAATCAATTAAAACCTTATCAGGTTTAAGAATAAGTATCTTTTGATAGAGTTAAGCTTCACACCTTAACTTTTTTTCTGTTGTCCTGCATTGTTTTACAATGATTATTTTATAGTTTGTTTGTTTTTTTGCTTTGTATACATTGGTAATCTGTGCCTGTTTTGGTCAAACTGCAGATGTTTTGAGATGTGCTATGGAAATAAAGTTTGCATTGATTTGAAGTCATGTGTGTTGAGTCATATAGTCATAATATGCCATTGTCAATGTCAATTCACAAGACTCGAAAACATAGTTCAGCAATTGGGTATTTATTTGAAACTCAATCACTTTTCACAAAACATCAGAAAAAGAGATTTCATGATAATGTAATGTTGTTACTGAATGAAGACCAGCTCCTTACTGCTAACCACAGTGGTCTCTTCTCTGGAGCCTTTCTGGACAGAAACGTCTCTCCCTGTGTAAAATACATTCCAATGGTCAGTTGCTGTCAGACTTGAGGTTGAAAAAGACACAAGATGACATCAGACATTATACGCCTTTGGTGAAAACATGTTCAGCTTTTTTGATTTTCAAATCATCTGCCATACTTTTCCTGTCTAACACTTACAAAACATGACTCTATAGTTTACTGTTTGTCACGAGTCTGCTTTTTGTCTCCAGACTCAGAACTAAACATGGAGAAGCATCGTTAGTTATTGTGCTCCAAAAATCTGGAATAAACTCCCAGAAAATTGAAGGTCCCCTGCAACTCTTACTATTTGAATCCAGGATAAAATACTTTCATTTTGCTGCTGCTTTTAAATGAACTATTCATATCTTACACTGCACTGTAACTTGTATGCATGTATTTCATACCTTATTCTATATTAGCTTGTTTTATGTTTATTTTAATCTCTTTGCTTTTTAATGACTGTTTTTAAATGCCATTTATAATGTGTTTCCACTGCACTATTTTAGTGGGAATGCTGACACAGCATTCCCACTATCTGTTATGCTACGCACAAAATTCTTTATTATTCCGCCTGGTTATTTTGCGCCTCTTCTTCTCCCACATTGAACATCGCAGAAACTCCATTCAAACATCAAAACGTTCAGCTCGGTCGGAAATCGATGGCTATTACTTTTATCATTCATAACTTTCATAATTCCAGAGATACATCCCATAATTCATCACATTTTTAACATGGAAGTCAATGGAGAAACTCTTCAGACTTGAACAATCTTCATGCAACTTCAACTGCTAACTGCTCCTTCATACTTTTACTCAGAAACCTCATTCCAACTTTAAAATGTTACACATCTTTCTGACATTATTCGTGTAACACAACTTTTAAATCTGATTTGTACTTTTAGAGATATTAAACATTGTTCAGACCTTGGTAAAGAGGCCTTCTTCAGATTTTAGAGTGCGTGATGTCACAGCTAGAGTGGAGGACAGATTTAATTTTGCCTTCATATTTTCTTTTAAACCTGCCATAATTCCCAAACCCTACATTCCTGAGACATAATTCTTCATGAGAAACGTAGGAAAACATCTCGTATCTTGAAACATTTTAAATAATTAAGCAAAATAATTAAACAAAATGCCTCTTGAGGGCATGAAGTGACAACAACGTTCAACATGTCTGGATTAAACCCCAGTAGTTGTAGGTTGCACCGTTGTCGGAGCAGTAGTAGTTGTAGGTGCTGCTGTTGTTGTTGCAACAGTAGTAGGTGCTGCTGTTGTTGTTGCAACAGTAGTAGAGGCTGCAGTTGTAGGTGTAGCAGTAGTTGTAGGTTGCACCGTTGTCGGAGCAGCAGTAGTTGTAGGTGCTGCTGTTGTTGCTTCAACAGTATTATGGGCTAAAGTTAATGGTGAAGCAGTAGTTGTAGATGGCACCGTTGTTGGAGCAGCAGTAGTTGTAGGTGCTGCTGTTGATGTTGCAACAGTAATAGGGGCTGCAGTTGTAGGTATAGCAGTAGTTGTAGGTTGCACTGTTGCAGCAACAAATATAACTACTGCTGCTGTTGTTGTTGTTGCAACAGTAGTAGGGGCTGCAGTTGTAAGTGTAGCAGTAGTTGTAGGTTGCACTAGTTGGAGGTGCTGCTGTTGTTGTTGCAACAGTAGTAGGGGCTGCTGTTGTTGCTGCAACAGTATTATGGGCTAAAGTTAATGGTGAAGCAGTAGTTGTAGGTGGCACTTGAAACCTTTGTTGGTAGGATGTTGTTACAGACCTCCAAATGCAAACTTAATTTATTTAGACAAATTATGTGAAATGTTAGATAAAGTTTGTGATCTTGACAGAGATATTTATTTGATCGGAGATTTAAATATTGACTGGAATATGTTGCACTGTGCCCTTAAAAACAAGCTGCAGACAATAACTAATACATGTAACTTGGTACAAATGGTGACTAAACCTACTAGGATATGCATAAAGTATAATGTATTGATCATATATTTACTAATTTTAGCCTTGTATGTTCTCAGGCAATATCAATTCCAGTAGGGTGTTCTGATCATAATTTAATAATTATCATGAGAAAGACAAAGGTGCCAAAAGCAGGACCAAAAGTAATTGTGAGGAGATCAATGAAATATTTTTGTGAAGAGTCATTTATACAGGATGTTCAAAAGATATGTTGGAAACATGTTTTTGAGAAAGTCGATCCAGATGATGCTCTTGATGTCTTTAATTAGTTATTTATGCAGGCGATTGATAAACATGCTCCACTTAGAAAGCAGACAGTAAGGAACTTTAGAGCACCCTGGTTAGATGAGGAATTAAGGGATCTAATGAAACAAAGAGATGATGCAAAACATGTAGCTCTCTCATCAAGTTATGAGTCAGATGGGCAAATGTATAGAAGGTTAAGGAATTATGTTACAGCATTAAAGAAAAAGAAAAAACAATTGTATTATGGAAATAAAATTAAAGATATAAAGGATGACAAGAAAAAACTGTGGAGTTTAGTGAATGGCATGATGGGTCGTAAGCCGAAATCCACCTCAACATATCTTGAGGTGGAAGGGACATTTTTGACAAAACCAGTACAAATTGCTAATTATCTGAATGATTATTTTCTTGATAAAGTAAAACATTTGAGGAGAAATATGAATCAAACTATAAATAGTAACTCCACATTTCTAATAAATGATTTAATTATGAAAAATAAGAAGTGTACATTTAAAATAGAAAAAGTGACAATTACAGATGTTGAATGTCTACTAGGTAAATGTAGAGCTGGACCATTTTCTGGTACAAATAGCCGCCCAATAAGTTTATTACCAGCGTTAGTTAATGGAGAGAATAATTTTCAATCAAATAAAAAAATACTTTGAAGGTAACAAACTTAATACTGTGTATCAACATGCTTACAGACCTGGCCATTCGACATGCACCGCTTTAACACAAATGACAGATGACTGGAAGGGCGAACTAGATAATAGGAAGTTAGTGGGTGCAGTACTACTTGATTTTAGTTCTGCTTTTGATGTCATTGACCATTCTTTGTTGTTACACAAGCTGGAACAATATGGTTTTAATTTTGAAACACTGAGGTGGTTAGAAAGTTACCTGACAAATCGAAGTCAAACTGTTTTTTTTAATGGAAGTCTCTCAAAGATGAACAGTCACTTGTGGAGTACCTCAGGGTAGTTGTTTGGGACCATTTTTATTTTCTATTTTTACAAATGACCAACCATTAGTGTTAGTAAAAGCTAAAATTGTAATGTATGCAGATGACTCAACAATATATTATGCAGCATCAACTACAAGAGAGTTAACAAATGTTATGAATAAAGATCTACTACTGATATCAGAGTGGGTCATAAATAATAAGTTGGTACTTAATGCGGGAAAAACAAAATCGTTATTAATAGGATCAAATCATCAGTTAAAAGGTGAACCAAAATTGCAACTACATTTAAACCATATTGAAATTGAACAGGTCAAGGAGACAAAATTGCTATGTATAACCCTGGATCATAAATTATCTTGGTCTAAACAAATTGATGTATGTAAAATGGGAAGGGGTGTGTCACTTGTAAAAATAATTGTAAAATATTTGTTTTAATTTTGTTGTATGTATGTTTTGTGTGTGTGAGGACCCCAGGAAGAATAGCCAATGCTCATGCTAGTGCTAATGGGGATCCTAATAAAGACAAGACAACAATTTTAAGTTCAGCCTCATCGATCCCCACCACAGCAGCCGCACACCTTTAGTTAATCTGCCAAAAAGGCCACATTATTAACCCGAAAGTACACAAAAAGTACACTTCAGATGCTCAAGTTCCTTGACATGCTTCACGCTTTGAAATGTCACCGATATCTGTTACGGTTCTTCAACAAAACGTTCACATGTAAGAGGTTTATCTCTCATTCAGAACAATGAAAATGCTCTCCTCTCACTGATTAGTGCATATCACCATGGAAACCTTTGATCTCTGGACACGTCGTCAGCTCAAATATAAACACCTGTGTCATGGAACACCATGATGTCATAACTCCAACTGACATGCTCAGGGGCCTCATTTATAAACGGTGCGTACGCACAAAAGATGGCGTACGCCAGTTTCTACGCACTGTTTGCGATTTATAAAAAACTAACTTGACGGGAAAATGTGCGGTCCTCCACGCAAACTCTGACCCATGCGTACGCACTAAGCACAAAAACGGGAGAGACGAGAAACTGCGACACCATTGGCAGAAGGAAGAATGGAGAGAAATATGTGGAAATAATACCATAAATAGAATTTGACCTCATTTATCATATATGAAGAATTCATTTTCACAAATTGATTAAAGCCAATCTTAAAATGATTTAACAAACGCCTGTTTGAGACTCCTCAGTGCACACAAAAACATAACTTGGAGAAATAAATAAATACGGAAATGTTATTGATCACCCCTCGATTATGTTCTCTTGTTAAGAAATGTATTCTCATAAATGATGCGGTAAACAGAAGGACAGCATTACTTTAAACTGAGGCCGTTTAGCATTTCTATAGGTTGTATAGATACGAGCATGGTTTTATATACTATCATGTTTAATCATGTTTTATGCCGTTCGCCAATAGCCTACTTGATAAGTCGCTCGTAAAACACAGGAGGTATGGAAACTAAGAACACCATATGTGGTAAATTGTACAGCTAATATAACACAACACATTAGTTGTATTTCCTTTAACTGGTGGATTATGGTTATATAGTTGCTGATCGACAGCTGGAACACAAACCACCAAATACAAACAAATAATTCAGATCCAGTCGTCATGACTCCACTCCGGAGGGATTCCCCGATCATTTCTTACAGTTTATCATCAACATGTCTCCTGTCCCCGGTACAAACACACTGCCTGAGGAAGGTTAGGCCATGTGTATTTTTTTTGTCATTAACCTTTTTCGGACCACTTATTTATTTATTTTGGTGACGATCCGACCTCCATGCTGCTACTCTGGTTCAAACTGCATCCACCAAACAATATGATTTATCTCGACCTCCCCAAAATAACCAAAATCTGACACGGTGTGAGATGTCTTTTTTAGCTGTTCTGTCGTCATTTCCTGCGATCTTCTTCATGCAGTCAGTCAAAATGAATGAATGAATGAGCGTTTCTTTGACAATTTATAGCCAAATATGGGCGTTACGTGAAGCCCGCAAAAGCGAGTTGATTGTGATTTATAAAGGGAAACCGGCGTAGGATGTGCAGTACGCAAGTCCTGTGCCGGTACACAGTCTTTTATGAATCGGAAAGTGTCAGTGTCTATTTATTTGCTTTGTCCTACGTAAGCAACCTTCCAACGCCAATCCTATGCAAGGCTTTATAAATGAGGCCCCAGAGCAGCAGACTTCAGATAATGGTTAATGGTCCTGCCCTCAACAGCTCTACGTCAATTATGGGGTGTCATCATATGCCGTTTCCATGGAAACGCATCCCTCGCCATAAAAGACGATGTCGCTATACATTAACTCCTATGAAAATGTTCAAAAAGTGCTCAAACTTCACATGTGTGCTAACAGTCCAGCCGTGAAGACATCTACGGTACAGTTTTGAGATTTCTTCAAATGCTGTTGCCATGGCAACACAATGCTCGCCATGAAACACGGTTTTCTCATAACTTCAGTGAAAATGCTCCAAACGGCCCAAAACTTCACAGTTTTAGTAACGATGCAGCCATCAACGCATCTAAGCGTATTATGGGATGTCATCAAATGCCGTTGGCATGGCGACAGATCATTCGCCATTAAGTTAGTTCAAAAGTTTGCAGTTCAAATATTCTGCTGCTTTTCCAAGCCTTTTTACTTTCTTTTCTTCTCTCATCACACATTCAAGCCCCCAGTGTTCATGTATCATTTCAATCTAAATTCTTCCCTTTCTTCTTACACATTACATTTCAGCATAGCAGTTTAGCGTCAGCTTTTCAGCATAAAGCATTCCCACTAGCAATTTCTTCAGGAATTGCATTCTCTAGTTCTTAATGCTATTAATGTTTTTCATTTTTGTAAAGCACTTTGAACTGCCTTGTGTTGAAATGTGCTATATGAATACACTTGCCTTGCCTTGTGTTCATTTTACAGACTTCAGAGAAAAATAAAATTGGTGGTTTGAATATTTTCATAGTGAATATTGTTATACTTACTGTTTCTGAAGCACCTAGGTTCACAATTATCTCCGACAGACGGTTGACACACGGCTGCTTCACAGTGGATATACACCTGGTCAAAATTTTTTATATATTATTCGTAATTATGAAGGTTATATTACAAAAAACATATAAAAACTAAACTTGACAAAAGCCTTTGTCTTAGACAGTTAAATCCTATACCTTTTCGTTGAGAGGAATCATAGCCTGTTGCTTTACACCTCCACCGGATACAAACGTGAACATCTTGAAAACAAAACGCCTGTAGTGGGTTGGGTACATGAGTCCTGATGAAGCGTCCACAGGGACCAGAGCGATCAGATAGCGGTCATCATGGTATGGGCAGCTATGGCAAAGAGAGCGAAGAATAGGTTTTGAGTATAGCCTCGTAGAAAGTTTTATAAATGCCTATTTCAAGTAAAATCAACATTCACTCTTACCCATCAATCAGCAAGTCCCATTGAGGGAGACTTTGAGGGTAGGGAGCAGAAGTTGCCCAGCATTTTCCAAGAGTCAATATAATGTTGGGATCAGTCCTCTCCAGTATATGGACTTCCGCATACACAGGGTCTCTGAGAACCTTTGTGACGGGGTAGTCAGAGTCAACGTAAAAGGAGTTGTAGGCCACCTCCTCTGCTCAAGCAAAAAAAATGTGGTTAGTGCAGTCACTGCCGAATGAGACTGACAGCACACCATATGTCCTTTACACTAACCTTCCACACATCCCTTGACTGAACACTCTCCATTGGCCAGCACTAGCTCCACGCGCAGGGGTCCTGGAGCTGCCACTGGGGGTGGTGGAGGAAGCAGGCCAACCTCGATAACTCGACCCTCAATTGAGGTGCCACTGTATCTACACTGGAAAAGCAGCCTGAGACAAGATATAAGGTCTATGTTAGTCAGTTAGTCAGAAAAGTATTAAAGTGCAGTTTGTCATATCACAATGAACTAACCCCAATCCATTGTAGAGAATTCAAGGTAAATTCACTGTATTCTATTGATACCACTGATTTGTCTAAATACTTGAGGCCTTAGCAGAGAATTAACTGAAGTAGCAACAGAAGTAGTAATCTTTCATGTTGTGACCACTGAGAGTTAAACAAATACAAATAAATACTCGTATTGACTGTCCCTGGTGATGGCTCCGTTGGGTCCAAAAGCGACTTCATAAAAGGAGGACAACCGGTTCTCATAGACTATAACGCCAGGCTCCTCCTACAGTAGGTTGGCAGTATTTCAGTTTTAATTACTACCCAACAAAAATGTATACTAATGACATTATACATTTAAATTAGTCAACATCCTTACCATCATGACAGTGCCACAGTCAGTGACAGGGAACTGGTAGATGGCAAAGGCTGAATTAGTGCCAAGAGGATTGCAGGTTTCGCCACATCCAAGGAAGAAAACTGTCTCTATATCGAGGTTGGGTAGGGTGGCGTCTTTGGCCACCGCCACGATGAATTGACCATCCTTGGTGCACTGAAGGGTCACTGAAAAGAACACAATTACAAGCAAAGACTATGGATCATGCAAAACTCATTGAACACATTACTAGAGATATACATGTATTTCTTTGAGGAGTAAGAAAAACACTAACCAGATTTTCCATAATAGCACATGTTTCCACCATAGCAGCAGTTTAAAGCTTCACAATGTTCAGTAGAGATTCCAGGAGCTCCACAATGTATCTTTTGATTGTCAGCAACTTCACAGGTTTGCTGGGGCAGCTGAGGCCTCTGTTGCCGTTTAGTCTGCTGATCATGCTGCTGAGGCTGCTGAGGCTGCTGGGGCTGCTGAGGCTGCTGAGGCTGCTGAGGCTGCTGAGGCTGCTGAGGCTGCTGTGGCCACTGTGGCTCTTTAGGCTGCTGAGGCTGCTGGGGCTGCTGAGGCAGCTGAGGCGGGTTCCATTTAGGGGGAGTTGCTGGCTGCTTGGGCTGCTGGGGCAGCTGAGGCCTCTTTGGCTGTTTAGGCTGCTGAGGATGCTGAGGCTGCTGAGGCTGCTGAGGCTGCTGAGGCTGCTGAGGCCGCTGTGGCCACTGTGGCTCTTTAGGCTGCTGAGGCTGCTGAGGCCACTGTGGCCACTGTGGCTCTTTAGGCTGCTGAGGCTGCTGAGGCCTCTTTGGCTGTTTCGGCTGCTGAGGCTGCTGAGGATGCTGAGGCTGCTGCGGATGCTGAGGCTGCTGAGGATGCTGAGGCTGCTGAGGCTGCTGAGGCTGCTGAGGATAATGAGGCTGCTGAGGCTGCTGAGGATGCTGAGGCTGCTGAGGCTGCTGAGGCTGCTGGGGCTGCTGAGGCCACTGTGGCTGCTGAGGCTGCTGAGGCTGCTGGGGCTGCTGAGGCCACTGTGGCTGCTGAGGCTGCTGGGGCTGCTGGGGCAGCTGAGGCCACTGTGGCTGTTTAGGCTGCTGAGGCTGCTGGGGCTGCTGGGGAAGCTGAGGCCACTGTGGCTGTTTAGGCTGCTGAGGCTGCTGGGGCTGCTGGGGCAGCTGAGGCCACTGTGGCTGCTGAGGCTGCTGGGGCTGCTGGGGCAGCTGAGGCCACTGTGGCTGTTTAGGCTGCTGGGGCTGCTGAGGCTGCTGAGGTGGGTTCCATTTAGGGGGAGTTGTTGGCTGCTGGGGCTGCTGAGGCAGCTGAGGCCTCTTTGGCTGCTGAGGCTGCTGAGGCGGGTTCCATTTAGGGGGAGTTGCTGGCTGCTGAGGCTGCTGGGGCAGCTGAGGCCTCTTTGGCTGTTTAGGCTGCTGGGGCTGCTGAGGCTGCTGAGGCCACTGTGGCCACTGTGGCTCTTTAGGCTGCTGAGGTTGCTGAGGCCTCGTTGGCTGTTTAGGCTGCTGAGGCTGCTGAGGCTGCTGAGGCAGCTGAGGCAGCTGAGGCCTCTTTGGCTGTTTAGGCTGCTGAGGCTGCTGGGGCTGTTTAGGCTGCTGAGGCTGCTGGGGCTGCTGGGGCAGCTGAGGCCACTGTGGCTGCTGAGGCTGCTGAGGCTGCTGAGGCTCTTGGGGCAGCTGAGGCAGCTGAGGCCTCTTTGGCTGTTTAGGCTGCTGAGGCTGCTGGGGCTGTTTAGGCTGCTGAGGCTGCTGGGGCTGCTGGGGCAGCTGAGGCCACTGTGGCTGTTTAGGCTGCTTAGGCTGCTGAGGCTGCTGAGGCTGCTGAGGCTGCTGGGGCAGCTGAGGCCTCTTTGGCTCTTCAGGCTGCTGAGGTGGGTTCCATTTAGGGGGAGTTGCTGGCTGCTGAGGCTGCTGGGGCAGCTGAGGCCTCTTTGGCTGTGTAGGCTGCTTGGGCTGCTGAGGCTGCTGGGGCTGCTGAGGCTGCTGAGGCTGCTGAGGCCACTGTGGCCACTGTGGCTCTTTAGGTTGCTGAGGCTGCTGAGGCTGTTGGGGCAGCTGAGGCCTCTTTGGCTGTTTAGGCTGCTGAGGCTGCTGGGGCAGCTGAGGCCACTGTGGCTGTTTAGGCTGCTGAGGCTGCTGGGGCTGCTGAGGCAGCTGAGGCCACTGTGGCTGTTTAGGCTGCTGAGGCTGCTGGGGCTGCTCAGGCTGCTGAGGCCTCTTTGGCTGCTGAGGCTGCTGAGGCAGCTGAGGCCTCTTTGGCTGCTGGGGCTGCTGAGGCTGCTGAGGCTGCTGAGGCTGCTGAGGCCACTGTGGCCACTGTGGCTCTTTAGGCTGCTGGGGCTGCTGAGGCTGCTGAGGCCTCTTTGGCTGTTCAGGCTGCTGAGGCTGCTGAGGCTGCTGATGCCACTGTGGCCACTTTGGCTGCTGAAGCTGCTGAGGCTGCTGAGGCCTCTTTGGCTGTTCAGGCTGCTGAGGCTGCTGAAGCTGCTGAGGCTGCTGAGGCTGCTGAGGCTGCTGAGGCTGCTGAGGCTGCTGATGCCACTGTGGCCACTTTGGCTGCTGAAGCTGCTGAGGCTGCTGAGGCTGCTGAGGCTCCTGAGGCTGCTGAGGCTCCTGATGCCACTTTGGCCACTTTGGCTGCTGAAGCTGCTGAGGCTGCTGAGGCTCCTGAGGCTCCTGAGGCTGCTGATGCCACTGTGGCCACTTTGGCTGCTGAAGCTGCTGAGGCTGCTGAGGCTCCTGAGGCTCCTGAGGCTGCTGAGGCTGCTGAGGCTCCTGAGGCTCCTGATGCCACTTTGGCCACTGCGGGGGCTCCTTTACATTTTGAGCATCAGCCAGACAGCCAAGCAGGGCAACTGTCAAAAAAGAAAAAATCAACTTCATTGCATTGGCTTCACAGTGAACTGATTTGAAAGGAACACCAACTACTGTGGAATAAAAATGGTGCTATGCTGACTTTTATAAGGTTGGCCTATTGGTAATGTTGACGATGAGGACTAACATCCTATTTGCTGCCCATAACTTCCAATCACAAGCTCCAGTGACTGTGGTGTGTGGTGATGCACTCAAGAGATTTCATGGATTGCCAAACAAGTAATATCAGTGGACAAATAACATGAATTCTAGAGATATTGCATCGGAAGATAATAACAGCATACATGGTAGTAAACTCACTGTTGCATTAACATGAATATGTATTCATTAGTATCCAACCCATGCTTAAGAATCCCCTGATTGTCATTGAGCGTGAATGTCAGAATTTCCAGATTGTTTGTACAATTTCAAAACAAAACCTTTCACAGAGTTTGTATGACCTGCAATGTGCAGGTCATCATGTATTTGGGCAGCAGGACTCAACTAAACAAATACTTCTTCCTATCTTATTTGCCATTGATACAATCAGTCTGTACTGGTCAGGCCTCGGGACCCACTTTTTCCTTTGTCAATCAATCGCGACCCGACATTTTGAACCACTCAAATCTATTCAACAGAAAATCGTGCTGTAATATATACGCTTTTCAGCATACATTATTAAAGTGAAATACAGTGCATATATGCCTTCACAGAACTAAAGTATGCTTTTAAAAAAGGTTTAATGAGATGATGGAATCAAAGCTGAACTGTATAACATAAAAAGGCACACATGCTGAAAACCCAACCCCAGAAGGGGGTCTGGGGGGATTCTCCCGCAGGAGATTTTTAGAAATACTAACATATAAACTACGCATTCTGGTACACTCTGAGATGAAAATAAATAAATCTGTTACTACCCGATCTATTAATAATATTTGATGCCATTGTTTGTGTTTCACTTTGTTCTGACAGCTGAACTTGCTGCTCCACACAGAGAGAAGAGTAAAGAGGAGATAGTTTGTGTGAATTACTTTAAATTGTGAATAAGGGTAGATAGCTCCCATTGTTCTGTGACCTGTCAATCATCAAACCGGGGGTCATATTTCATTATGTGTTCATTTTTATCTGAAGTTGTACCCATGGATGTATAAAGACTAGTTCTACCGCAAAGTTATTCTCCGTGGGGACTTCCGGCAACAATCTTGATTCTGATTGGCCAGAAGACTCGAAAAAACATCAGCAAAGATGTTTTATTGAGAAGATGATCACTACGTGAAAGAAGTTTTCAAAACAGTTTATGGTCTCCGGTACTTCCAGTCCAACGCCTACTGCATGCACAGCGTTAGAAAATCGGGCCTTCAAAATAAAAGTTTGACTTTTTTCCCAAAAAAAAAAAAAAAAATTTTCTTTTTCAATTTTATTTTCTTCACTGACACATCTGCGACCCACTCGAAACGGGTCCGCGACCCACTTTTGGGTCGCGACCCACCAGTTGAGAACCATTGATTTAGAGGTTGCATACAATTTTGTTGTCAATTTTGATTTGAATAATTTGTTTAATAGCTTTGCCATTTATAAAATATGGATTTGTTATATTTGAAATCATTTGGTCAAAAAAGAGGACGAAAAAATGGAAAGCAAAGCAGATTAATAATTGGAGTTTATTGTAAATCACGTATCTGCAGGTTAAAACAAGGAAAATCATGTCATCACTTGACCTCTGTATTATTTTTCAATTTGGGGGTTAATCTAATTTTTCTCTCGCAGGAATATTTCATTTATAAACTCTTTTTACTTCTCAAGATCACCAATCTATTTGATCTCTATGTAAAGGTCATTTAGAAACATCAACCTGGAGTAGGACCATATTGATTTGCAGCTCTCCACAAAATGTACTTTGGCAAAATATTGAGTTTGAAATTCGATGTTGAGGGAAGGTTGACCTAATCCAAGGTCAACATAACTTTTTGTGACCAAGACCTTTCATTTTCAAATTATACCCTCCATATGTTAATATTTGTTTCATTTGGCTGCATTACCATCACATTTGTGTCAGCACATCCACAGTTTTGTGTTCATAATACTATTTATTTATGCAGCTTGTATTTTTTCAGCATAGTATAAAATGTTATGCATTAAAATAATCCATCCATCCATCTTCTCCCGCTTATCCGTGGTCGGGTCGCGGTGGTAGCAGTTCCTCAATCTGAGGTTCGACAATCGGCCTGACCCTCCTTTCGAGTACCTTAGAGTAAACTTTCCCAGGGAGGCTGAGTAGTGTGATGCCTCTGTAATTGACACACACCCTCTGATCCCCCTTTTTGAAAAGGGGAACCACCACCCCGGTCTGCCACTCCTTCGGTACTGTTTCCGACATCCCGCAACGTTGCTGAGACGTGTCAACCATGACAGTCCCTCAACACCCAGAGCCTTCAGCATTTCTGGGCGGATCTCATCCACCCCTGGGGCTTTGCCACTGTGGAGTTGTTTGACGACCTCAGTGACCTCCCCCCGGGAGATTGGTGTTGATCCCCCGTCATACTCCAGCTCCGCCTCTAACATAGAGGGCGGAGTTGTCGGGTTCAGGAGTTCCTCAAAGTGTTCCTTCCAACGCCCTAACACTCCATCAGTTGAGGTCAACAACATATCATCCTTACTCCTGCCACAGCTTGGATGGTTCCCTGCTTCCCCCTCCTGAGGTGTCGGACAGTTTTCCAGAACAACTTTGGTGCCGCCCGAAAGTCCTTTTCCATGTCTTCTCCGAACTTCTCCCACACCCGCTGCTTTCATTTCATTTCATTTCATTTCAAACCTTTATTTATCCAGGTGTATCCCATTGAGATCATTGATCTCTTTTTCAAGGGAGACCTGCTCAACCACGGCCACGGCCGAGGCTGCTGCCCTTCGGGACTGTCGGTACCTTGCAACTGCCTCGGGAGTCCCCCGGGATAACAAATCCCTGAAGGCCTCCTTCTTCAGTCGGACGGCTTCCCTGACCACCGGTGTCCACCAGGAGGTTCGAGGGTTACCGCCCCTTGAGGCACCTAAGACCTGGAGACCACAGCTCCCCGCCGCGGCTTCGGCAATAGAGGCTTTGAACACCGCCCACTCTGGTTAAATGTCCCCAACCTCCACAGGAATGCCCGAAAAGCTCCACCGGAGGTGTGAGTTGAAGGCCTCCTGAACTTGGGCCTCCTCCAGACATTCCCAGTTCACCCGAACTACACGTTTGGGCTTACCAGGTCTGTCCAGAGGCTTCCCCCGCCACTCGACCCAACTCACCACCAGATGGTGATCAGTTGACAACTCCGCCCCTCTCTTTACCCGAGTGTCCAAAACATACGGCCTCAGGTCCGATGATACGATAACAAAATCAATCATGGACCTTCTGCCTAGGGTGCTCTGGTACCACGTACACTTATGAGCATCCTTATGTTCGAACATGGTGTTTGTTATGGGCAATCCATGACACAGAAGTCCAGTAACAAACCACCACTCCGGTTCAGATCAGGGGGGCCGTTCCTCCCAATCACGCACCTCCAAGTGTCTCCATCATTGCCCACATGTGTGTTGAAGTCTCCCAGCAAGATTAAAGAGTCCCCTTCAGGAGCCCCATACAGGACTCTTTCCAGGGTCTCCAAGAAGGCCGTATACTCTAAACTGCTGTTTGGTGCATAAGCACACACAACAGTCAGAGTTTTCCCCCCCATAACCCGCAGGCGTAGGGAGGCGACCCTTTCGTCCACTGGGGTAAACTCCAACAACGAAGCACCCAACCGGGGGCTTGTGGAAGCAAACATGATAACTTATTATAAAAGTATGTGCACATATCCATCTTCTTCACATCACCTAGTGAACTGTGTAGATCACTTGCTGTTATGAAGCGATGGTGATAAAGTCCACTGTTGTGTGCCTTGTGGCACTGGCCTTGTTAGGCAGCTTATGTCATGCTCAATGGGCTGTGGGTGGTTACATGCCGACAGCACCATACCAGAAGCCAGCACCGAGACAGGAGCCTGTCAAACAACAGCCTCAGACGCCCCAACAGAGTAAGCAGACATTTGAAAGACCTCTCACCTGGGGATACCCTGAAGACCCCACGCCTGACCCTGAAGTCGAGGTGCCGTTCGAGTTGAGATTTCCTGTTGCTGCTGCAACTGTTGCTGTCAAGTGCATAGAGAGTATTGCTCACGTGGAAGCCAAGAAGGACTTGTTTGGGATTGGCCAATTTATCAACCCTGCCGACATTACCCTGGGAAACTGTGCCCCTGTCGCAGAGGACAATGCTGCTCAAGTGTTGATTTTTGAGACAGAACTGCAAAGTTGTCTTAGCACATTAACCGTAAGCTAAATACAAATGGTAGTCACTGAAAAATAAATGAAAGATTGCAATGATTATTATCTAAAAATATGGTAAACCAATATGTTCATGTATGATGTCATTTGTTTGTACTAATATACATTTTTCCACTAGGTGACACAAGATTACCTTATCTACAGCTTCACTCTGAACTATGATCCCAAACCTCTGGCCGATACTCTTGTGGTGAGGACCAGCAAAGCTGCAGTAATTGTGGAATGCCACTACCCAAGGTAATAAGACCATTAGAGGTGTGGCAATGAACATACAAACATATAATAAATAACATAATATGACATTGAAATACTAACACATTTAGTAACTCCAGTAACCATGGATCACCAAATCTGATTACCTGTGGCGGATGCATATTAGAAATGACTTTAAGCTGCATTTTAAGCAAACCTATTTCATCATTTAGGAAGCACAATGTGAGCAGCCTTCCTCTTGACCCCTTGTGGATCCCATTCTCTGCAGTTAAGGTGTCAGAGGAATTCCTTTACTTCACCTTGAGACTCATGACTAGTGAGTTAAAAAAACAGTTTATCTGCAGAATTAACCTTTTACAGAGCTTTGATTAGAAATGTATATTTTGCAACACTCTTACATTTAAATGTTATGTTTGATCAGATTTCGGGCAAAACGAAAGACCAAGCTACCAGTATTACCTGGGCGACATCATAAATGTAGAGGCTGTTGTCAAGCAGTTCTTCCACGTGCCCCTCCGTGTCTATGTGGAGAGATGCGTAGCCACCATTGCACCTGACATGAACTCAATACCTAACTATGTCTTCATTGAAAACAATGGGTGAGCTGGTTAATTTAAATTGATGTGTACAGTGAAAATGTATTATCACAAACAGAAGTTTGTCCTCTAATGTGGCTTTTCATATGCAGGAAAAATACATATAATAATAACTTAACCCCTCTCTTTTTCTAACAGCTCTACATTACATGCCACCTGAAAGCTACATCCACTTTACGTCCCATCAATGCTGAACATAGAGCTTGTTCCTACATCAATGGGTGAGTCTGGGCTTCTTTGAAAATGTGTCATTGGAGTATTGATACATTATTAACTTTTCTTCTCTTCTTCTTCTTTCCTCCAAGGTGGAAAGAGGCCAGCGGACAGGATGCAGCTTGTGGCTCCTGTGAATCTGGTGGATTTGGAGGAACTGGTGGAAATCAAGGAGCTTGGACTGCCGCCAACCTTGGTCAGACTCCTGGAAGGAAGATCCGTGATGTGTCCCAAAGGGAAAATAACAGTATGATATATTGTATGCATTCCTAGTGAATGTGTGCCTGAGTTGTAAGACAACCCCAGCAGTGAAAAACGTGACACGTGTCTTCTGTCTTTCTTTCTAGTTTTCGAATGGGAAGGTGATGTCACCCTGGGCCCCATCCCTATTGGAGAGAGGATTGTCGCTTAACTCAATTTCCTGCCACAGCTATGACCATGAAAATAAACATTCTCAATGGTTAATAACTGTCTTTATGTTTTTCACTTTCTTTCTTGTTGATAATTCAGCTTAAAGGTGGGGTAGGTAAGTTTGAGAAACCGGCTCGAGATACACTTTTTGTTATATTCCATGGAATGCTCTTAACATCCCGATAGCAATGAATATCTTAAGTGCTTTGACAAAAAATCCATAAAAAAATGTCATCTGTGGAAGCCGTAGTACTGTAAAAAGCACGGCCAATCATTTTAGCCGGCCCGGCTAAAATAACTGGATGGCCTACCTGCCTGTCAGCCTTCCATCTGTGCACAAACTTATCTCATGCCCTCATTGGTCATGTACGCGTTCGTGTGTGTTGGAGGAGGGGCTCTGTAAGGAAGTGGCAGATTTCTTCCGGCTGTGTATTTTCAAATTCTAGCGATCTCGAGCTGGTTTCTCCAAAATTACCTACCCTACCTTTAAACAAGAAAATAACCCATATTTACTACTTTTAATGTTAACAGAATTTGACATATACAAAACATAATAAAGGTGTAAGAAACAGATGAAAGTGTAACTTGCTTTTCATTGCCCTCTGTTAAATGCTAAATGTCCAGTTCATACTGTAGACTAGCAACTTTTAAGCTGCACACTGATATGAAAGGGACTATGATTTCTGAGTTAACATCATAAAGTTAACTGATTTAATAAATGAGAATACAATTGGGTAAAAATAAAAGTTTCCTTACATTAGATCACTATGGTGTACAATAACTTCTAGTCAAGTAGAAGGACAATACAAATGCATCCTGTGTGTAAACGTTTACTGCCCCCGTGTGCAACAGATTGTAAACTGCAGCTTAGCGATTTGCACTTCAGAACCACAGGCAGTGAACAGCTCCACATTGCGTCTGCTCGGTATCGAATGATACATTTCAAGTACTTTCATAAACTCAACGTCTGAGTTAGGATGCTCTGATTGATAGTTCATTTACAATCTTTGATTCAATAGTAAATAAAAAGGGAGCAAAACTGAAACGTTTAGCCACTGATCACCTTAAAGCTTCCTCAATGCCTATATTTTATGTATTTTTTCTCTGAAAGTCATAGCGTTATCTGGAGAAATTAACCATATTATGTATGCCTTATTATGATAATTATAGCATAGTAAAGATAATTTGCATTTGAGATACATGTTTGATGTGCATTAAGACCTTCCATAATACCCTTTGTTGTTTGAGAAAACATTTAGTATTTCAATAGGGCAGGAAACGTGCAGGCCCTGACTAAAGCGATTCACAAAGAAATTGGATCGATAAAGCAAGCAAGATTTCTGAGCAAAGGACGGATGTTGGTAGAAATGATAAATGCAAAACAACAGGAAAAGTTACTGAAAATGAAGACCTTGAATGAAGTTCGAATTAAATGCCATGTTCCTGGTTCCGATATAAATCAGCATGGAAGAACTCAAGAAAGAAATTAAAGGGGGAAAAGTATCTGTAGTTAAGCATCTTCCTACTAGGTATCAGGGTAAGATAGTGGATAGTTTGTCTGTTCTTCTTCAGTTTGAAGAAACAATTCAACAGAAGATAATGATAGGTTGCATGAGCTTTCCAGTAAGAGAATTCATCCCTAAACCTCTGCGGTGCTTTAAATGCCAAAGGTTTGGGCATGTGGCAGACAAGTGCAAAGCAACTAAGCCCAGGGGTCCAAAATGTGCGGGGGAACATGAATATGGTAGTTGTGCTGCAGGTGCTAAGGTGAAATGTTGTAACTGTGGTGGGGAACATAGTGCTGCGTATCAGGGCTGCGAAGTGCAGAAAAAGGCCAAGGAGGTGCAGAGATACAAAGTGCAAAATAAAGTCTCATATGCTGAAGCAACAGAAAAGGTATCATTAAACATAGCTAGGAAATCCCAAGTAGCAGCAAGTATATTCTCTTCAAAAGATTTTCCCAAACTCCCACAGGCAAAGGAAAGCTCCACAAAGTGTTCACATAAGTGTGTGATAGGAGAGGATGCATTGATTGTTAATACGTACACATTTGTGGCCTTTATTGGAAAAGTGGTGAATGTTGCTTTGCAACAAACAAAAAAGAGGTCAAGACTGAAAACAATAGTGGAGGCAGCAGGTGAATGTTTGGGGATAAAGGATATAACCGTTGAAATGATTTTTAGAATCCATGTAATAAACTCAAAATAGAGGAATTAGACAGTCTTTGTCAAGGAAATTAAATAATATGGTGTGGTGATTTTAATGCACATAATACAATGTGGGGAGGGAGATCAACAGATTACAACGGACAGGTGGTGGAGGACTTAATGGAGGCAAAGGAATGAGTTTGTTTAAATAATGGGCAAGGTACAAGACTCAATTTTAGAGATGGAACAGAGTCTGCGATCGATCTAACTCTGGTAACAAGTGAATTAGCTTCTGGTAGCAGTTGGGAAGTATTGGCAAATAACAGTATTGGGAGTGATCATCTTCCGATTATAATCAAGTTTGATATAAGTAATGTGGTTGAGCTAGACGGTATCATGAGATGGACTTTTTCTAAAGCAAATTGGGAGATGTTTGCTAAATTGTGTGATAATGAATTTGATAAGATTGATATGGCAGGAAGTATTGATGAAATAAATCAGCAATTTACTTCAAATTTAATTAAAAGCGCTAATCAAACTATTGGGAATAAAACTGGTAAACTAATGGTGCATTTCCACTACACGGCCTCGCTCGGTATGGCTAGGCCTCATTAGGACTGGCTCACAAATGGCGCATTTCCATTACAGTTTAGGAACTGGGGTAGTATCTATAGCAGGGGTCACCAACCTTTTTTAGGGTGAGGGCTACTTTTAAAAAATAAAACAAGTCGGGGGCTACTTTTACTCCTCTTTTTCTTTCTTTTTTGCAGTGTATATATTTAGCACATTTTAACATGATGATATGCTGACCTTTAACCTTTGTGTGCTGTTTGGGTCTGTGGGACCCGTTTTCAGTGTTTACTAAAAGAACATGTATGCAATTTAATTATTTTAACCTGCTTTATTTGGGGGTGGACGGGCCTCACCTCCTCTAGGGGGGTCCACACCTCCTCTAGGGGGGACCTCACATCCTCTAGGGGGGTCGGGGGGCATGCACCCCCGGGAAGATTATTTTTAATGTTGAAGTGAAATGCATCAATCTGGTGAATTGATGGAAACAGCTCTCAACACTCAGATGAAAGGGAGCTGTATGTCATGTCTAAGAAACTTATTGTGAAAGTTTATTCTTTATGTTAGTTTTGTCATGTCCTTCTGTCCTGTGCTTTATGTTTTATTTTGAATAGTAATTTTCCCTCTCATTTCAGGCCTCCACGCTCCCCGCCCCTATCTGTCTCCTGCGTCCGTGATTGTTTTCCCCGCCCTGATTGTTTCCACCTGTTCCCCTTACCCTGTGCTAGTTCCCTCCTGTCCATTGTCGGTTCGTTCCTCATTCAGGACTTTGAGCAAGCTTACTCCACAGACGTGATACGTACCTCTAAAGCTTCAGACCATTGTCATTGTTTTTTCCTCGAAAGAGAGTTATTGTATCTCTCACAGGCTCCGCCCTCTACTGGACTCTATGGGTACTACCTTATCCCGCGTGCATTCTCCCACTGAGACTTCTATAGACGTAGCCGGCCCAGGGCGGGCCTACCTGAATGCGCGCGCATCACACCGTATAAAAGGAGGCCTCGCCTCCTGACTGCCATCCTTTTTCTCTTCAGCTAAGCGGAAGTGATTCCACAGAAGACGTAAGACGTATTGAAGTGAAAGTGATAGAGAGAGAGTATGGAGCCAGTACTGGACCATAGGACCTGCCCGAATTGTCCGAACCTGATTTCGGGAGCCGATCCGCACCCCCTCTGCTTCACGTGTTTGGGGCCCGACCACGCGATGAACGGTATGGGCTCGACGCCGGCGTGCTCGGCCTGCCAGGCGATCCCGCGGCGCACGAGGGAGCATCGTGGGCAGCACTTCCTGGAGAAGATTGCCCCGCGAGAGGAGTCGGAGGAGCTGGATCTCGACGTCGTGGACATGGGCGATTCGGGAAGCGAGGGGACATCGTTCCGGTTCTCCCTGCCGTGGGGCCAGACGGTCCCGGTTCCGATGATCGACGACGAGGACGCCTCGCTATCCGGAGGTCCAACTCTCAGCTCTGCGCGCATGGATTTCCCGGCGGTGATGACTCTGGCGGCGGAGCGTGTAGGTTTACCGCTCCCCCCACCGCTGCCACCGAGGCCTGTAAACCGCCTGAGATCGGGGGTTTATGGTCCGGTGCATCCGGCGCAGCCGACCTTCGTTTCGCCCCAGCTGCCAGAGGTATGGCGGTGTGTGGAGGCGACATTGCACCAGCCATTAAAAACGAAGGCCCCGGTAGCCGCCATGGCGGGTATCATTAAGGTGGTGGATCGCTCGGACACGACATGTCCAGGTGAGCCCCCCCCCTCGATGAGAGCCTGGCCCATTTGCTTCCGCGGCTGGTTGGGCGGAGGGTAAACGTCCTCTGCCCCGGGACCGAGACACCTGGAATATCTGGATAAGTTGTTCAAGCTCGGTACGCAGATGGCGGCTGCGGCCGATAATCTTGGCGTGTTGGCGTCTTCCTGATCACCCTCAGGCAGACGTCCCCCGCCCTCCCGTCTCAGGACGAGAGCGATTATTCGGACCACGCTGTTAGTCAGATGAGTAATCTGATTTATGGCATGGCCACCGCAGCAGGGCGGTGATTTCCCTGG